AATCAATGATAAAATCAACTAAAATCAATAATAAAATCAACTAAAGTTAGTGATGAAATCAACTAAAATCAATGATAAAATCAACTAAAGTCAGTGATGAAATCAACTAGAATCAACGGTAAAAACAACTAAAGTTAGTGATAAAATCAACTAAAATCAATGATAAAACCAACTAAAGTCAGTGATGAAATCAACTAAAATCAATTATAAAATCAACTAAAGTCAGTAATGAAATCAACTAAAATCAATGAGAAAATCAACTAAAGTTAGTGATAAAATCAACTAAAATCAATGATAAAATCAACTAAAGTCAGTGATGAAATCAACTAAAATCAATGAGAAAATCAACTAAAGTTAGTGATAAAATCAACTAAAATCAATGATAAAACCAACTAAAGTCAGTGATGAAATCAACTAAAATCAATGATAAAATCAACTAAAGTTAGTGATGAAATCAACTAAAATCAATGATAAAACCAACTAAAGTCAGTAATGAAATCAACTAAAATCAATAATAAAATCAACTAAAGTCAGTGATAAAATCAACTAAAGTTAGTGATAAAATCAACTAAAATCAGTGATACAATAATTTGGAGGCAGAATAGGCTTGCTTAAAAAGAAAAGTCTTTAAGCCTTTTTTAAAGTCAGTCAATGATTGTGGAGCTCTCAGATAGTCAGGGTAAAAATGTATCACCCGAGAAACGGCGTCACTTGCTTTATGTGGTTGAAATGCTGACAGGAATAGAACATTGAAGAGTTTCCAAACCTGCTCTGGACAGCCTGTTTTCATTACAATGACTGATGTCTGTTACCTTGATTACACTGCGCTGTTGCCATCAAGTTGTCAATTTATGAGTACAGTAGCTCACCGTAAGTCTTACTGTAGGTGCTCTTTCCTTTCATTAATACATTAACATCCTGTTTTTTCATGATATTTAAATGAATAAAAGCATCAAACCTAAAAATTGCGAAATATTAGGCAAATTTTCAAAATGTCACGTTTGTTTGCGTAGGCAGCAAACTTCTCAAGGTCAAAACCTTATAGAACTGCTCAAGTCACATTGTCATGAATGGCCTGGATTGACTCCATCGTCATGTTACCCAGAAAAATGTCCCATCAAGATAAAAAAAAAACAAAAAAAAAAACAATGTTGGTGCGGAGGAGGTTTCTTAATTAGAACCAGTTTTTCTGTTTTGAATGTCTAATTTCTGGCTCTAGCCAAGAAAATCACAGTGGAACAATGTTTTTTTGTCAAGCCTCAGCTTTGAACTACTCGGGTCTCTGATAGGAGGTGTGATGAGTGCTGCTTGTTGTTCGGTGTATTGTTTTTGGACTAGCGCTTAGCATATTCTTAGTTTAACGTGTTTCTTAGTTCATATCTTAGATCTTACTACTGTTTTTCTTTACAATTTCTACTTTTGTTGGATGTAACTGAGACCCTGTGTACACAATTTTGTTCCACCACATGTACCACGTGTTGTGCAAATGACAAATAAAGAAACTTTGACTTTGACTTGACTTTGATTATAGAGGCCAGTCATGCCAACATCAAATGTTGGACCCACCATGTTTTAAAGTTAAGTGTACTAACCTCAAGCAAGTTGTTTAACCCCTTGTTGTCTTAACGTTGCTCTGAAGGTACTAAGGAGGATGAGGAGAGAACAGAAGAGGAAGACAGAGAGAGAAGTAATGCAGAAAAATGCTGTTTGACTTTTGTTATGTTGGCGATTAGGCATTTTTAATACACGTTTAACTAAGATTGCATTTTTTTATCTTTATCTTAAACCATGGGATAATATACATGAAATATATTAAATAAGCATAGGATCCCATTAAGTTGGTTTATGCATTGGGCCCAAATTTTTATACTGTTTATGCTGTTTGTGTGTAAAATGTCAAGTCAAGTCAAATTTATTTATAAAGTACATTTGAGAACAGCAGCTGTTACCAAAGTGCTTAACAATAAAAATCAAAGGCAGCAATTAAAGAAAAAATAACAAAATGTGATTTAAAGCATTAAAAAAAAAACCACACAAAAACGATGAAATACTAAATCAAATCACTGTTCAAAGTTAGTGAAAACAGGTGTGTTATTAGAAGAGATTTACAAACTGAAAGTGAAGTGGCCTGTCTAATGTTGGGGAGCAGATTGTTCCAGAGTTTAGGGCCAATGACTGAAAAAGCCCGATCTCCTCTGAGCTTCAACCTGGTTTTTGGTACAACCAAAAGCAGCAGGTCTGATGATCTCAGCACTTGAGAAGGAACATGTGGTTGCAGTAGATCAGGGAGAAATGAGGGTGCAAGGCCATTTAGGCACTTAAAGGTCAACAGAAGAATTTTAAAATCTATTTTGATACGTATATGGAGCCAGTGAAGGGAGGACAAAACTGGTATAATGTGCTCAAACCTACGAGTTACTGTTAAGAGCTGATCTGCAGCATTTTGGACGAGCTGGAGACGTGAAAGGACACGTGACTGACCCCAACATAAAGTGTGCTACAGTAGGCTAGTCATGAAGGCATGGACAATTTTGTCAAGGTCAGATCTGGTCAACACTGACTTAAACTGGGAGAAGCTTTTTTGTAGGACAGAGTTAATCTGTTCAGAGCCCAAAACCATCCTGAGATTTGTAACAGACTGCTTAAGCAGTGCTGTAGTCTAAGTGATACACGAGTATATGGCGTGTAACCACAAAAAATGTTAGGGAATTTTTGCATAACCAATTAAAAATGCCCAATGATACATAATGTTCCCTCTATGCTGCGCAGTTAGGGCAACTGGGCAAATGTCCAAGCAAAATATCTAGTTATCTCCCACTTTAAAATAAACTTTTATAATAAACTGTCAGCCCGAGCGCAGCGGCCTCTACAATCTGTCTGTATGCAGCATGATTTGCGTGCAGAGTGGAGGAAGAACCACTCATCCCAGTCAAAACAGATCTGTGTCAAGTGATTTGTGTAGCAACAACAGAAGTTTATGAACAGGTAAAAAAATTCAACCCATGAAATCACAGGCGCTCTTTCATTCCAGCTGTTTCTGGGGTTTCGGCACTGACGTGCAAAGAAGCTAAGTGGCTACAAGCAAGCTCCTTGGCTTCTAGCTTTCCAAGCTTTATACTGCATATTTCATCGCATACCGAGGAATAATATTTGGCGTTGCAGATTTATCAAAGCAGTTTACGGTCGTAATCATCAAACAAAGGCGGTCAGTAAGCTAATCCCACGACTTGTAGCCGTTTTTATCATGCTAAGTGTTAGCAAACAGTAGTGCTCGGTGTATATCTGGATGGGACTAAATTGATTTTGTACAAAGTGTTTATAGTTCAAGTTCAAGTTGTGTTTATTTGTCATAAGTAAAATTAACACAGGGTTAACAGTACAATGAAATGCTCAGGATTAGAAGAACAGATTTGACTCGCTAAAAAAAAAAAAAAGAAATACTAAGCATGCAGGGTACAAAAAAAAAGTACCAAAAAGTGAAATAGTAATTAGAATATTTACAAGGTCCAAAAGAGAAAATAGTAAACAACAACATGGTCGAATTTAACAGTGCAAGCAGGATGAATTTGTATGAACAAGTATTTTAAGGTAGTAATATAAGCTAAAATGCATGTGATATATATATTGCACATAACTAACATAACATTTTTAAGCACAGTATACGCTCTACACAAATGTAGATTACACCACTGTGCTTAAGATATGGCTCAAGAACATTAAAGTTTACAGGATCAGAGATAACAGTAGAGCTAGGCATAAACACGACTTCAGTTTTTATGATGCATCCGTACATTTCTATGCTGATGACAGTTGTTTATTGTCGAGCTAAAACAGTTGATGAGGCTTTCCAGCTTTTGAAATCTGCATTCAACATCATCCAGACAGATTTGTTCCACCTCAAACTTGTCCTAAATGCCGACAAAACCAAAGGGATGCTTTTTTCAAATAGGAAGTTGATCCCAGCAGTTCTTCCTCTGATTTTATCCTCAAATGGTGTCCCCATTGAGTTTGTTGATTCCTATAAATATTTGGGTATCTTGGTCGACTCACATCTCTCTTTTAAGCTCCATGTGGAAAACTTGGTAAAGAAACTGAAAGTTAAACTGGGTTTCTTTTTCAGAAACAGATCCTGTCTAACCCTGAATGCTAGGAAACACCTTGTATCTGTGACCTTCCTTCCCTCCATTGATTACGGTGACATTATTTACATGAACGCTCCTACAAGAACTCTGCAGATGTTGGATGCTGTCTATCATGGTGCACTAAGATTCATAACTGGCTGTGATTATCGTACCCACCACTGCACCCTGTATTCACTGGTTAACTGGACATCATTAACTTCACGCAGACTCT